TCACACAACAGCAACAGTTACATAAATCTCAGAATCGAAGGAAGCTGCTTCGGTGCCATATGGTTCAAACCTATTTTCACAAGTATCTTAGAAACAGAATTTTAGAATCGGAAGTTACTTAGAAATTGCCTAGTTCTACTTTGTCACTTTACAGCTGAAGAAACAAAAGTTGAACGGGTTCAAATAACTTCTCAAAGGCATACTACTTAGTATTTGTGTTAATAAAAGAATTCAATCACCTAAAAGCCACATCAATGTGGCAGCCTAGAAAAATAGAAAAACGCAGCCAAAAGACAGATACATAAAGAGCAGTCTTCCTCTAGCTAATACACATGGTGATTTTTAAAAAGGACAATATGGGCTAATTATAAGAAAATTACCTCCACCCTCTCAGCTCCTCCCCACCCCCACTTTTTTTTTTTTCCTGGAAAGGAGGAAACAGGTAGAGACAGACCGGATAATAGCAATTCTCACTAACTGCCAGTCCCTGTAAAAACTTTTAAGTATTAATGCAAGCATCTTCATTCTGTAAGGCTACTACAGTCCAAGGTTTCTAGGAGACAGTCTATACAAAGCCATCCTGACAACTGCGTGCATTTTAAAAGTACTCTGGTGTTCCCTCAATTTGTTTTATAAATTGTTCTGACTACACAGGTGACTAACACCAAAAACAGAGACTCCTGCAGCTGCTAGTGATTCATGTATTAGAAAACAAAGATAAAAGATCTCCCAGATTTATATCTAAATGCCTTTCCCTAATTTACAAAAGGGAACAAGTAATCAAGAAAAAAAATCTCCCAAACTTGCATAATGAAAAAAAAAAAAAAAGTCAATGCACAAAGTTGCCTGGTAAAGAAAATAAAGACACCCTGCAGAAATGAATGCATGGCCTCACTCCCAAGAGCCAGGCAAGAACACCAGGAATAGGAACATGACCAAGTCTCCTTAGTTTAAAATAAAGCCTTAGACTCCAAGGGGAACTTAGAAATCAAGAATGCAGAAAAAGGACAGCAAGTCACAGTGGGCCATGAGACTTCCATTATCTATTTTCAATTCTATTTCTTATTTCTACTTTTAAACAAAATTTAAAGAATATAACATCACTTTAGCCACAGGTAGCCTTTGCAATTCACACATTCCTGGCATGATGTGTGTTAATTATACTCTACAAACAGTGATCAGCCTAAAATAGGAGAGAAAGAATCCATAGCATCTGGACTTCTGAAGCTGTGGTCTTTTTTGCTGGCTGAGCATCATTTACCTGCACTAGTCAATTTTTCTCTTGCTTCTGTAGTTAAGTCAGCAGGCAGTTCTCTTTAGAAACAAGAAATTCAAGCTGTAACTACAATAGCCACTGTACTGGGATAAAGACATTTCAAACCTCATTTCACCCTTAAAAACTATCCAGTGAGAAAAAGCTTTATAACTACTTTGTAATCATTCAGATCACAAAACAGAAATCCTAAGTTGTTCAATATCTATGACCCTTTGTCTTCCCTGTGGTAAAGCAAGATTTTGAACCCAAGTTTTCAAAAAGCAGTACTTAGGATCTTTCCACTGTCTTAGATTCTCCTCAGACAAGAAAGGGGAAAGCCAAGGTAGCAAGAAAAAGGTAGCAAAGCTCAAGAGACCATATAAGTCTCCAAAAGTGACTAGCTATTTGAGCAGAGTTTTTTTTTTTTAATGTTATGTATAGTGACAGAAAGATTTCAATCAACTAACATTAAAAGACAAATGTGCCTCACAATTTGTTATCTGCAAATCTGCAGTTAGACATAAATAAAATTTAGCAATTTTAATGGCTTTGGCTCAAGTCATCAGATTTCCATATGGTTATTTTCCTTATTTTATGTTAAATGTAATCAACTTAGCACTTGCGCTTTGGAGTCTTGGCAGAATATATCAATTAAAAGCTACATAAATTCAAATTATTCAAAGCATACATTCCAAAATGAGTGATTTTAAGGACAAGATTGAAAAATGCTCTTTTCATAAATGTTAATTTTTTTTTCTATAAAGTAAACTTGCATCATCACCCAGATGACATGCTTCATACAGACAATAAAGGGATAGCTTACTTCAGAATCACAAAAGCTAACAAGCATTTTATTTGCCTAAAATGTGCTGCTGAGAATGAGTGTGTGTCTAAAATGGCCTTTTCTACACTCATTGCAAGATGAAGGTCTCTGATCTTACTATTTCTAAAACTGACAGCAGTCTGAGAAAGCTCACAAATGTCTCAAAACTAAAATGCAAGGACACCATTGAAAAGCCTGGCCCAGTAAACTAACAAAGCTTTTCTAATTGGTGTTGCAAAATATGTTGACTAATCTTATTGCTACACTATCAGAAAAAGGTTGGAAAAAAAGATCAGATATTGATGTTCTATCCAACACTGAAGATTTCTTTCCAAGTCACTCTAAAACCACAAAATATGAGTAAATCACAATTCACTTCTGTCAACTTGTGATTAAATTTACTGTTACCATTATTCATCATCTTGGTTGCCCATGCAATTATTTTCCAACTACTGACATCTATCACATGTGCTAAATAAATTAAAAAATCATTTGACAAATCTCAAGTGGTTGCTGATGGAATTTTCACGCTTACTGAATTTGACTGAAAGGGCTGAATGTCTGATGTCCCCATGATTTTTGGAAAGCCCCACAATTCAAGTTAGGGTTTATTATTATGATTACTCTTAAATTCTTATTTTATGGGAGTGGGCGAGTACAGAACCATTGGCCTTATAATAGAACTCTGCAGCTGATACCATGTTTAGGAACAAATTATTGAGTATTAATAGCTATTCCTTGCAAGGGTAACAGATTCAGGATAACATCTTACATCTTAGTGCCTGTTTTCTCATGCTACTATTTTTTTAATCCATACATTATTGTAGAGAAATTTTCTTTGTAACTTTTAAATACCAAAATTTAACACTATGAAAGAGGATCTAACTCTGTTCCCCATTCCCACAGATTATTTATTGATTCTGGGGTATTTCCAGCGTCCCCCCCTTTCAGTGGCAGGAATGTGAAATTTTTAGAAGTATCCTTAAAGAAAATCTTGAAGGTCATTAGATCTCAGGCGATGAATGCCTTCATTCAACAAGGACACTGCCCTCCTTGGCCTGCAACTCCTTTAACATCAGCAAGTTCCCCCAAAGGGCCTGCACTCTTCCTTGGTCCTAGCAGGTCACATTTCTAAAATACTTAGCTGTCTCAAATATCCCTGGTCCTCAGCATTTGAGTCTCTAACACCACAGCCCCAGCGTTTCAGCCTCGATCCACCTCTTTCTAGTTTTCAATAGAATTATTCCATGTAATCCGATTTGCACAGCCACTTAATCAAAGTGAGAAAGGAGATTACAGAGCTCACATTTGTTTTGCAAAGCAAAGGTGCAAGGATCATCGATCCTACTGACTCTCAGTGACTTAAGAGTACATGGCCCCTTTGGAGTGTTGGACATTAACCTGATCTGTCTCCAGTTCTTGTTTAAATAGGAAGGTTGAGGCTTTTTCTAAACTAGAAGGTAGCAGTTTCTCCACCCAATCCCACCAACACCATGCATGCAAGATGCTACTAGAACAGCGTACTGGTTGCCAGCCTGTGATGATTTTCACAAAGCACACAGCTCAATCAATTGCATCAAAACTTTATTGTTGCCGAATCTTTTAACATGTGCATCTCAACAACACACCTTAGTGGTCCCAATTGTGGCGTTCCTGCGCAGCTATTAGCTAACTGGTTTGCCAGAGGGAGCTGTGCTCCGCTTAGTTTTAGGCTGCAGCTCTGAGACCACGCAAACCTGCCAGGCATTACCCCTTCACCCTGCCCTTTTCCATACAGGTGACATGGGTTGGGCTCTTCCTACCTCTTTCTGAATGTGAACATTCCCCAGGCCTAGACGATGCCAAGCAAGTCATTTAATAAAACAAATTCAGCACCTGGACGCCTTCATACTAAGCCGACGATTTGTACCACCCGCCCCCCCCCCAAACCGTTCACCTCTTGGACACAGAAATTGCAATCTCCGATAGAAACTGGGGGTGGGAAGAGGCGGTGAACAGGCAGCCTTACTTAAGCCCCAGATGCACAGATAAATTCCTAGGGAGAGATTTGAAACTAGCTAAGAATACCGGTGGTGAAAACACTGTGGATGGGGGGCGCGGTGACTTTCGAAACGAAAAGTCAGCTATTTGCTTGGGGGCGGGGGTGGGGGGAGGTAATAACCGAATTATAACCCTGGCCGGTGCATGACTCACAGTGGTTCCGTATAATGCAGTTTATACATTATACATTATATAGTTATCTCAGTAACTATCATTTGAGTTGACCACTTTAAAAAAAAAAACTTATAATAGAAGGAGCTAGATGCCATGTGAAGGAATTACCCATCTCTCACCCAGAGCCTCAAATCTGGCAAACGCTGCGGGGAGCCAAGTTTCTCCGTCTAACCGGGCAGGTTCTCCGGCTCGCGGAGCGCTGCAGCTAAGCAGCTGTAAGTAGGCTGCGCTCCCCAGGCTGCCCCGCGTCCGTCCGAACCCCGCGACCACCTGGGGGCTGCACAAAAGTCTGGGTGGGCCAGCGGGCAAGCGTGGCGCGGGGGAGCTGTTCTGTAATCCCTCGGCTTCCCGAGGAAAATGTGTCTGTTTAAAACAAGCCTTCCGGAATAACTTCAATTGCCAGTTCAAAGAGCGGAGCCTTCCATCTTAAAGGAACTGCAGCTCCCTACTGACAGCTCCCAACTTAACGGCCGCGGCTCCAAACTTGACACCCGCTCCCTCTCCTCCCTCCCACCGCTCCCTCCGGCTCACCCCGGCCCGGCGGCCCCGGCTCGCGCGCCACGCCCGCCTCCCCCGCACCCCCTTGCCTCTCCAGGAGGGCACAGCTCTGCACGCCCCGGCAGCGAGTGCCGGGACGCGCCGGCCTCCCCCAGGCGCTGGCGCGATTTTCTTGCAGCGCCTGCGAGCTCCCGGGCGCGCCCTACTCACTTGTGTCTTCTTCATAAGGAAAGGCAGCGCTGTGATCCAGCCCAGGCAGCGGTGTGGCGACTCCGTTTAGCTGTTCTGGAGCTCCAGCATATTGCACGAGCAGCGGCTACAGATAGTCCACGCATTGGGTAGCCCGAGCGCAGCGCCCTCTTCACCGCCTATGCTGCCCGCAGCGCTTCAGGTCCCGGCGCGAGGCGGCGAGTGAAGCCCGGGCCGGCGCGAAGCCAGCACTTTTATATAGCTCCCTCCCGCCTGCTCCGGACACGCCTCCTTCCCTTCCGGAGCCCCGGGGAAGCAAGACCCGGTTGGGGCACTGGGGGGGTGGGGTGGGGGGAGACCTAGGAGGGCAGCCAGAGCACGGCGAGTGCCGGAGAAGTTGGACTGATCCAGCTTAGCGCGTGCCCTCGCGTGGGGGGGGGGGTCCTCTAGCGCGCACCGGCTGGAAGCCACGCGGGCGTGGGGGCGCCAGGGGTGAAGCTTTTAACAACCTGCAGCCGCCGCTCGCGATGCTCGCTGCGGTCCGGGCTCGGCCTCTCAGCTCCACCGAGGTTCACCTGGCACCTCCCCGAGACGGAAGAAATACCTCGTGTGCGGGCGAGAGCCCGGAGCACCCCCTTTTAAGCGGCGGCTGTGCGGGAGAGGAGTTCGCTGGGTGCCTAGCGAAGAATTCACCCGCCCCGCCTTAGGGAAATAAAAAAGCTTAATTAGAATCTATAGTTAAGCCATTGTCTTACCTCCCTCCATTTTTTTTTTAACAATTACTTTAGTGAATGAATATTTAATAATTAAAAGAATTGTTGACTCAGGGTTAAGTATTGCTAAGAGAGATGCTATTCTCAGATTTGCTTTAGAAATGAAGCATGAAAGAAGCCATGGATGATTAAATGTGCAGGTCACTAATACAGTAAGGGTTTGAGAGTGAACTTTTTGTTTGTTTGAGAAGGCTTTGAAATTGGAAAGATAATGGAACAACAATAATAACCCAACACCATTATGTGATGCGCTTGATTCTGTACCAGGCGCCATAGTAAAAACTTGAAATCGATTATCTCATTAAAACTTCTCCACAAATCTATTGTATAGTTTCTATCATTTTAACCCCATTTTATGAACAATGAAAAAGAGAAAGATCAGTTTTCTCAAACCACAGTTGGTAAATGGCATAGTTTAATCAGAATCTGGAGCTCTGGCTATACAGCCATTAAAAAAATACTTAAATATTTTATTGACTTTCCAATGCTCCTTTGTGTTTGTTGTTATAGCTGGAGACAATTAAAAACACTTTACTAATTTTTAAAAACTATTAACTAGACTTCAACATCAATAATCTTTGGGAACGACAACATGGGAAATTTTGGAACTAATTCTGTTGATAAGGTTGTAGGACCCCAAAATTTGCTATAGTAAATTCAGAGTGCCAGGAGAACATGCTAAACTTGTAATCGTGAGAGTAAGGAATTAGGTAAAATCTGAAATTCACTTAGTTTTCTACTTCTGTTGTAACAAATAATCACTAACTTAATGGGTTCAAACAGCGCAACTTATTTTACAGTTTGGAGCCCCCAAGACCGAAACAAATCTGGACTGGCTAAATGTTGGCATGGCTGCATTCCTTAAAGAAACTCTAGGGGAGAATGCCCTATCTTGCCTTTTCCAACTTCTCAAAATTGTCCACATTCTTTGGTTCATCACCTCTAACACCTTCAAAGCCAATCATGAAAGCACTGAGACACTCCCTCTGCCTCCCTCTTCTGCTTCTACAAACCTTGTGATCACACATTGGGTTCACCTGGACAATCTCCCCTTTTTTAGGTCAGCTGATTAGCAATATTAATTATACCTGCAACCTTGACTGCCTTTTGCCCTGTAACATATCCACAGGTTCCAGGAATTAGGACATGGCAGTCTTGAGGACCGTTCTGTCTGTCTCACTGACTTGTACCAAGTTGGGGAGAACATAGCACAGAGACACGGGAATGTCACGTGCATGCTTCTCTAGTGCCTCACTCCAACTGACTTTGGACCTCCCAACTAGAAGACGATCACTCTTCTTCCATAGTTACAAAAATAAATATTTGAAAAAAATTTGGTTTATTAAAAAATGCTTTTACTTTCACTCATAACGCTGCTGCAAATCATTTTAAGTGGAAATGGGAAATAACCTAAAATCTGAAGCAAATATAGCGGTTTTTGGAAGCTCTGGATTTCTTTCTGAAAATCTCAACATAAGTAACCCTTAGAACTAATTTTGTTCCACCAAAATCTTCCAAACAACTCTCTATATATTATACATAAAAGAGTAACAATCTTAAAATGTTCGGTAACAATCTAATGAGTGAAAAGGGGTGGGATGAATTAATTTGGGAAAGATTGGTTTTATTTCAAATTAGAGATTCTGCCTCAAGTCAGGGGTTAAACAGTGTGGCGTATATATATGTGTAAAAGTTCCCACGATGAACATAAATTAAATGTACAGTTTAAAAATGGGTGTTATATAATACATATGTGTCAATACATGTATTTGTGTACACATCTCTATCTATCTATCTATCTGTCTGTCTGTCTGTCTGTCTGTCTATTACATGTGTATTAAGCTAAGCTAATTGTTTCTTGGAGAAAAATTCTGACCAGTCAATTTAAAGCCAGTTGAATGTATAATATCAATAACAACTAATATTGAAGGAAGGTATGTAAGACAAAAACCATGAAGTTGGTAGAATTACTGAAGTTAAGAAAATATCAGTCTGAATATACTAATTTTATGAAACCAGTAGGAATGGATGCCTCAATAAATTAGACCAGATTTAAAGAAACTAGGTGGTGCACTCATCAGAAATTCCGATTCATTTTTTTTTTCATTCAACTCAACAATTTCGCTCCTGTAATGAACTCTCTCCCTTTCTCCCCTTCCCTTCCTTTCCTCCCAGTATTGTTCTCCTACCTCAATGCCACAGTTCAGTGTCTCTGGTTATATTAATATCACCACTGACCTTCTCATCCCTAACTTTATCTTTTGTTTCCTTCAACTGCTGCTCTACAATTTTGCTACATAATCATGTTGTTTAAAAACAAGCTAAAATATTTTTAAAAAAAAAAGCTGCGTTCAAAGGATTTATTTATAAAGAGCTAATATGCAAATCAAAGATTGTCCACAAGACTTCCAGAAGTGGATCAGACCTCTCTCTCTCAAGTAGGCCTTTGAAAGGAGATATAGTCTGGCATCCTGTCCCCAAGAGAACACGTGGCAGGCCTATGGTGCAGAGGAAAGGAACTCCAGGAGTTTTTTCTCCTGAAATAATGGGCACCCATTAGAGAGTCTTCACTTGAACAATAGGTACATTGGGAAGAACATTTTTTCACAATTATCTAGTCTTACATACTTTCAAAGCTAGTCGGTCCATCATGCTGCTTTAGATAAATTCTTGGGAGACTTGTTGTTGTGGTTGTTGAGCCTTAACATTTGTTGATATTAAGACACAGGGTTTAATTTAGTAAATCTGGTAAGTCTTGTGCACTTGCAACCCCCCTATTAATTTTCGTCTTGGTGGCTGTTCTCTGTTAGGCACTCATGCTTTTTCAATAAACTTCGTTTAAAAAAAAAAAAAAAACAGCACTCCAAACTGAAAATATTATCTGACCAGACCAAATCAGAGGAAAGCCACCATTCCTATTTTGGGGGGAGGAGGAAAAGAAGGATGAGCATCAAATTTAGATCACGTAACTTCCTCCACTCAAAACTGCGGGATACTGCCAGTGCTCCTGGGATAAAGAAGAAAGTGCCTTCGCAAAGGCTTCTGGGCTTCTGGTTTGTGACCTCTTGATGTCTCCCAAAGTCAATTTACTCTTGGCTCCTCTGCTTCAGAGGCAAGGACCTTCTTCCTATTCCCTGTAATTCTCTCTCAGTTCAGAGTCATTGCACATGTACTTTCTACCTCTACTTAACCATTTTGCTCAAACCTCTCCTTTTTGCCTAGTAAATATCCTCTCAATCTTTACATCTCAAGCCAATACTCCTCATATTCTCTTTCTTAGACAGGATTGCCCTTATTTCTATTGGGTCAACTCTCCTCCTTATAAACTCAATTATGAATTTCCTCTCTTTTGTAGCACTTACAAAACAGCCACAGTTTTACATTTCCTTGTGTGGTTATTTGGTGAAAGTCCTGACTATGACCACTCTCACTCATTATGTTATCTTCAGTGTCTAGCACCATGAGCAAACTTCTAAATGTAGATATAACTAGGTTACAGATGCCAGGCATGGGGTAAGAATTAGCCTAGACTTAACTATTACTGTGTCACTAACATCTCACAACAATCACATTTGTATGGGAGATCAATGATCTATTTGAGAACCAAAAAGTAAAGTGATTTATTCAAGATTCTATAATCAGTAGAAAAAACATAATCTAGTCAGGTATATGGACTAAGTTAGGATGTTGTATCTACTCAGCACACTCTGCTATTCTTCCTTCATTTCTAACACTCTGATTTCTTTTGGAGTATTCACTTTGGAATCCACATCTTTCAGGGAGGATTATCATGCATAAGGGTCTGTCCCCTCCAGTCCTCACCTCTACTATGGGGGTGGGCTTACTTAGGTTCTGGATCTACTCAACCACCGGATTGGTTGAGGGATGGGCACATCACTTGAGTTGTGCCAATCAGAATCTACTATGGGATTTATCAGCTACAATTAATTGGAAAGATTAACTAAATCCTTTGGATTTACCAAACTACAAAATTCAAGGTTTTCTTTATGATGTGTGATTTTATCTACCTTAAAATGATGAAAGACTCAAATTTTCTAGTATTCAGGCAACATCCTCCAACTAATTTGGTTTGATTGTTTTTTTCTTGATTATGGAATAAGATAAATAAGTGTTGCCAAGTACAGTAAAACTTAAAGGTAATTTTACTGTGCCTAAGAATGATCATAGGTCCAGCTTAAAAAATGAACAATTGAGAATTTTTTTTTCTGACTGTTAGGAAACTTAGAAATATTCATAATGTTAACTTAGAATGTACTAAGTGTTGTTAAAAAGCATTGAACTCATATCAAATGGAATTTGATGGACAAAAATAAGAGTTTATCATGGAGATAATTATAATATAGATAGGTCATTATATACTATAGTGATCAAGGAGGTATTAACCATCATGGCTCAATAAAAAGTGAAATTACCAAGCAACTCCAAAGAAATAAACTTCTAAAAA